GAAATGGAAACTTTTATTTATACAAGATTCACACACGCATTTACATGTTCTGAAAATCGGATAGTTATGATCATTTTAAAGATTTCGTTTCGAGCGACGAGGACTCGGTGGAGGCTCTCATCGACGCCGCCAGAAGCTCTCTTAATTTCCGAAGGTGAAGGGAACGGCCGGCGCTTCATAGTTGTAGCCTGTGTTGCCGCATACAGCCGGTATCGTCCTTGTGACGGTGACGGTACGGACGCCGCCGACGGTGCTGAAAAAGACTGAATTCACGAGGCTGGTGGACACCACGCGGTTCGTCACCACCTGCTCGGGGAGGTTCACCGTCCTCACCACGTTGACGAAGGAGGTGGAGGCGCGGCCGACGGTTCGCTCCTCGGTCCTGGTGTTGGTGACGGTGACGGGACGGTTGACGACGCTGTCGATGGTCCTGGTGATGGTGTTGCCGACGACTCTCGTGGAGACGACGGTCGTGGGAAGGACCTGGGTGGACACGCGAGACTGTGTGGACACGACGATGCTAGTCACAACCTGTTCCTGTGTGCGCACGACCTGGGTGACCTGGCTGGTCGTGCTTGTGGAGTAGATCACCTGGCTGGAGGTCCTTGTTTGTGTTCGCAGCACGGGTGGCGGCTGCACGGTGGTGGGTCTGAACACGGTGGTCTGCACGACTCTCGTGGACTGCACGGTCCGGGCTGGCGGCTGGGTCTGCACGGTTGTCTGGACATTAGAAACGACGGTGTTGGTGACGACCACATCTCGCACCGGGGCGGTGACTGTGCTGGTTTCGACTCTCTGTGAGCTACTGGTGACCGTGGTGGCCCGCACGGAGGTTTCAGTCTGGGTCTTCACGACTTCCACGGGGCGGGTGACCTGTGACCTCACCGTGCTGTACGCCACGCTCTGTACCTGCCGGGTGCTGGTCACCGTGAACTGGACATTCCTCGTGACGGCGGATCCGCTGACGGTGTTGATAATGGATCGCACGACCTCGCTCGTCCGCGTCTGCGTCAGGGCTTGTGTCCTCGTATTCCCGACGGTGTTGACCTCGGTCCTGACGACGGTGGTGGGGCGGAACTGGGTGGTCACCACTCTGGAAGTGATGACCTGAGTGACCACGGAGCCGAAGCCACCGCCGCCCGTCGTGCTGGTCACGACCCTTGTGGCGGTGGAGGTGGAGGTGATGTCGATGCAGTTGTCTTCCTTCGGGGGCAGGTATCCCCCGAGGACCTCGTTGGCGGACGGCACCGGGATGTCGAAGGCATCTTGGAATCCTGCGGGCGGGCCTGCGAAGATCTTGTCGGCGTGGGCAGCGGCGGCCACCAGCAGGAGCAGGACCAGCGAACGCATCTGCAAAAGGACACCAGTGAGGAACGTGGGCACACGGGGCAATGGGCGGGCCCCGGGACCCATGTACCTTCCTGGGGTCCCTCCATGCCCATGCCTCCCATACACGGTCCCCAGCGCCAGCCGGGAATCGTGAACGAGTGGCACGGGCGTCTGCAGGTTGGCCGTGAGACCAGGGGTCCGCCCATTGTAGGATAATCAATATAGGTCCTGCCATATGCTCTTGCGCGGGCGCATGCATCGTCGTGGGCGCGACCGGTAGGGCCAATTGCACTCTCTCGTAGGTGACATGTAGTGTAATAACATAAAGCATAGTTTAGCTCGTAATACCAAGCTAGTGAATGCAGTGATTCCTTTAATTTTTCATGTTATTTCGCGAAAATGTACATTTGTGCACCGATAGTGATCCGACATCATTTTCCGTTCATCCTTTATCATTCCTCCATGCTTACAACTTACATCTTATCTTCGTATATCATCCCTCCCTTTTCGCCATTTCCTACATGTGCATTCTTCTCGTCGTTAATACTTTCCTTTTATCGGCCCATCTTTCATCATGATCAATTCTTTCTCTTTTCTCTCTCTTCACCCCATGGTATTTCCTCAACTATCTTACTCCTCCTCCTCTCCCTTTCCCTCCCTCCACCTTGGCCTACGGAGACGACGCCACAGCCTTGGAATTTTATTTACACTTAGAACTAGACATAATGATTTTTACAACAACGTTTTCAGTGTTCACCCCCCCCCCCCCCCAAAAAAAAAAAAAAAAAAAACTGTTTTCCCAAACCTTCTTCGCTTTACAAGCAAAAGATATGTCTGGTGTATTTTACGACCGTCGATGAAAGTGAAGATGAGTCCTGCCATAAAAAATCTATTTATTTAGTTACCCCGAAAAAGCAACAGAAAACGTGATCTCCGACACTGGAATGTAGTTGATGGCACACTGACCGAAGCTGGTTTCATCTGTTGAATTTGGCTGCCGTTTGGTATCAAGTACAAACTACGACGACTATTACCCTAGAGCTTCGATATATGGCGAATAAGACATGGATTAATTTATCCTCCTGTCAATCAAATGGCCGACAACCCCCAGCAAAGAGCAGTCGATTTTTGGAACGTTTAACTTTTTTTTTTTTTTTTTTTTTTGATAGTTGCTCAGTCTCTGTCAGCGCTCACTATTAACCCCTCCCCCTCCGCTCTACCGACACCCCCCTCCCCCACCCAACCTTCCCCACCACCACACGCCGACCAAACTGCCTTTCTCTCATCCTTGGCCCTGGGAGAGTTTGTCTCGTCCCATGACCTCTTCTTCTCCTTTCTAATCCTTCCTCTCCCCTCACCCGCACTCATACCCCCCCCTCACCCCCCCCCCCCCATCACTTCTTGCGAGCATGACTGCGCTACCTGAAAGCTGCTTCCCGGATTTTTTTTTTTTTTTTTTTTTTTTTTTGGGGGGGGGTACTGTACATCATCACTGTCCAGATTTTCTCGTCTTTATCTTCTTCGTCTTTTGTGCTTCATTTTTCGTACTCGATCTGAAACTCAATTGTTTCGTCTCTCTCTCTCTCTCTCTCTCTCTCTCTCTCTCTCTCTTCTATCTATCTATCTATCTGTTTATCTCTCCCCCCCCCCCCTCTCTCCTCTCTCTCTCTCTCTCTCTCTCTCTCTCTCTCTCTCTCTCTCTCTCTCTCTCTCTCCTCTCTCTCCTCTCTCTCTTCTCTCTCTCTCTCTCTCTCTTTTTTTCTTGCTCACTCTCTCTCTATCTCTCTATCTATTTATCTATCCATTTCTATCTAACACACACACACACACACACACACACACACACACACACACACACACACACACACACACACACACACACACACACACACACACACACACACACATACACACACACACACATACACACACACACACACACACGCACACATTCTTTCTCTCTGACGCTTCGCCTCTCTTTCCCATGCAGACCACGTCCTACCCCTTCCCCCTCCCCCCCCCCTTCTTATCCTTTTCCAATTCCTTCTATAAGCTCTGTGCGTCTTTCCTTCTCCCTCTCCCTTCCTTCCCATCTTCCTTCTCTCTCTTCTTCATTATCTCATTTCCCTTATCCTTCTCTTCCTCCTCCTGTTCTCCCTTTCTCCCTCCTTCCTCCCGCCCTCCCCCTCCTGCCATCTCACCCTTCCTGGCAGGCGTTTGACCATGACCTCCCCAAGTCCTTTTGAGGTCATAGCCCCTCCTATTGCCCTGTCTTATCTATCGATCTATCTATCTACTGACATGTATGTTCCTTGGGTTTGTGACAGCGCGCGAATCTTCGAGAAAGATGAGCGAAGTGCGAAGGGCGATTGGAAATGTAAGATAAGGATAATCATGACGTTAATGACAACAGTAATAGAAATGATAGTCACTGACGATAACGATGACGATGAGAACACCTAGGCCGAACATCTTCAGTTTTCATGGTTTTCAGAGTGACCTTCGCATATCTGTCTTAAAGGTCATGCTCTTTCATGCAGCGTCATGGAAGAAACGGTTTGCTTACGGTCAAACAGGATGTTGAAGATAAATGTAACTCGTGTAAAAGCAAAATGATAAAGGAAAGAGCAATACACTTATATATATATATATATATATATATATATATATATATATATATATATATATATATAATATATATATATATATATATATATATATATATATACATGAATATATATGTATGTATGTATGTACGTATGATGACAATGAAAAAGACCCACTAAGCATGAAATGAGCAGATATGTCTTGAAATATATATTTATCAGAGAGAAAAAAAAAACATAATGAGCTCTTGTTTTTTCGCCGGTGTTTTTCCCTCACTCCTTCCCGCAGCATTGCTCACTCACCCCATTGCGAAACACACAAAGGGATTTCGCGTTTTTTATCAATAATGAACAGGAAGACTCGTGACACTAGGGAGGGTGAAAGTAAACCCGCTTGTGCCTGTGAAAGGAGGCTTAAAGAATCGAGAGGAGAAAGGAAGAGAAAGAGTTGCAGACAAAGAAGGGAAGAAGAGGGAAGGAAAGCCACGCAAAGAAATTGAAAAGCAAGGGGAAAGCTAGGTCGGGAAATGAGAGAGAGAGAGAGATTGAGAAAAGAGAAAAGGAGAAAGAGAGAAAAAAGACGTAGAGATAAAATGAGAAAAAAACGGAGAGAGAAAGAGAAAAAAAATGTAGAGACACAGAGAGAGGATAGGCTACGAAAGGAGAGAATGAGCAGCGAGAAAAAGAGTCGTACGAAATCACAGACATCGGAGAGATTTCAACGCGGGCCATAAGCAGTAATCCAAAAGGGACAGGCCTACACCCGTCTGAGAAGAGAGTCGGAGAAACAGTTCATGAGCAAAGGTTCAAAGCGGCACAGACACAGACACAGCACATTTCCCCCCTTTTCCCCTTCCGAGACGAACAGAGCCTACCGTTATTTCACGTCCGTAATACTCACAGAACCACACACAGAATGGGGCACACTCACTCCCTCTGTCGGTACGAACTTACCTTAGATATAAGAGTGTAAGCACTGACGAAGAGAAGCAACCAACTGTGGGAATGAAGGAAACCGAAGGGCCTTATATACCACGGTGGTACGCAAGGGAGCGCCAGGCCAGA